TGGGGAAGAGAAGGGATTTGCCCGTAGGCTGCAGGGGATTGCCAGCCTGCAGCAGGGCGTGGCGTGACCTCAGGTCCCCACGCTGGGCAGCACCAAAGCCTCTGCTCCAGGTCTGTCACAGGCCACTCATTCAGTGAGTCAGATGACTCCCCTTCCTTGAGCAGCCAAGACCCACATCTCCATCTTAGCAGAAGATGGACAAACCTCAATATATTTGGAGCAGTATTTGGGGTTTTATGGCACCCTGAAAAACCACTGCTCTACCGGCCGATCTGCACACACTGCAATTTATGTTCCTCAGAAGACACAAGAGAATTCAGCCCAGTCCATGTAAATATGTTCTCAATTGTTGCTTTTGGAGGTGCCACAAGTCCATTTTGCCCTTGTTTTCACATCCACAACATTTGTTTCCTTTTCAGAGCATTTATATTTTATTAACACATTCCATACAGCTTACTTGTCATTGCACGGTGGGATCATGCCTGGCAAATATTTGTCTTTCTTCAGTAACAACTTTTAAACAACCTTTCCAAGTTCTCAATGATACAGATAATCCAATCCCTCAAGTCTGGCCACCCGTGGCATCCTCCTTCAGCTGCCCTCGCTGTGCCAGGAGATTGACAGCTTGGCCAGGGAAAGATATGCATTACTGGGCTCTGTGGCTGGAATTTGCAAATGCCACAAACACTCAAATAACAAAAAAGGTTTTTCCCCATGTTGTGGGCAGATTTTATCTAAGCATCCGTGCTCAGATGCCCCCATAGACACACATACACAACCTGTAAGCAAGTGCACAGAGATATCCTCAGTTCATTATTCTGGTAAACATGACAGTCTTCTCTCATGCTGGCCAAAAACATCCTCCAGAGCTTTCAAAATAAGAAAGAAAATATTTTTGCTTTATTTTCCCATTTATTTTATTTATTTAAATTTATCTTCCCCGTGATTTCACTTATTCTTTTCTCTTTGAATGCAAAAAAGCAGTTGACATAGCCCTTGGAAACCATCTAGAGCCATTTACAATATTTATGGTATCACACAGTATTTTTATTGGAATGCTGAATCACCCCAGAGAACTGCACTGAAGCCACAGACTCTGCTAAATAGTTTAATTATGTAACTTTGTTCTCCTGGTGACAAGCGTTTACAAGCTCTCCTTTCGCAAACAATGTAATTAAGTCAAAAATTGCAGCGCAGCAAACCAAGCTAATGGAAACCAAGGCGAGTCCCATGGGCTCCTTCCTCCTGCTGTCCTGTGGAACTCTTGGCCCTACAAGCAGCTCTCCCAGCACCCCCCAGCTAATTTAAGGATGGAGGCTGCCATCCTCAGAGCTCAGATGGGAAAAGGGGAATTTGGGCTAAATCAGGCTCAGGTGGCTCCTCGAGCCCATCTAAGGGTCTTGCTGGCTCTGAGGTTGTGTTCATCAATAACTGAATAGAGCTTGGTCAGTTTGGTGCCCCCAAACCCCTTCCTAAGGGTCAATCATAATCAGAGAAAACGAGCTCAAGTGTGTGATGAGCGTGTCTGATCACCTTGTCTTCCCTTTGCTAGGATGGCTTTCCTTCTCCCCGTTGTATTTGTATTTTAATTTGTGATTTTAAAGCCTCTTCTAGCTGCCCCGGCCCAGAGGTGGAGGGTAACGTTTTCCAGCAGTCACGGCCGGGTTGTGTTACCAAACACAGGCTGCCGTTCCAAACGCCGAGCTCTCTGGGAAGCGCATTCCTGCGGCTCAGCCCTGGGGTTGCGCTGTTTGGCTGCCAGGCAGGAACGCGCCCTCGAGCCCCGCAAGCCCGGCAGCCAAGAGCGAGATAAGGATCAGAGGGGGAAGCGGCACTGCCAAAGCACACGGTCTGGAGGGGAGGAGGAGGAGGAAGGCATCGCAGGAGGGAGCCAGGATAGAAACGTGCCGGCACACATGAAGCGCTGGTGGATCCGCCACTCCAGACCTTCTAATATGTGGATCTTCGGGACAAAGGCACTGACTTCAGCAGGCCCAGAATACCCATTAATCACAAATGTTACGATAAGAAAGGTGTGCTTTAAGAACAACAAAGGAAGATTTTTTTTTTTCCTGCCCAAATTATCCCTGCTGTTTTCATCACAGCAGGTTTTCACCTTTTTTTCCCAGACGACCACAACCCACAGCCACACACAGTGTCGACGTGGCAGCTGCATTTCTGTACATACTGATGTCACCTTTTTGGCCACCTTTTGTAAACACACCATAAAGCTCTGCCTGTGCTTGCTCCCCAGAACCTCACCTCCTTGTTGTCTGTGCTAATAATAATAATTCTTGTGCTGTCAGAGACCAGGAAGCTTCCAGAGAATGGTTGGGTGGCAGATAAATGAAAGCTGAGCGACCATGGAGAAAAGTATAATTTCTTCCTTCTCACGCTGAATTTAATTCAGAAGGAAGGAATTGTTCAGGGAAATTGCAGATCAAGTAGCCAAGGGTGGGTTTGCCCAGTGCCTGATGAGGACTCTGGGTCCCCTCTGGCTCTCTGCATAGTAGGGAACCATGCATGGGTGACATCTCCAATTCACAGCACAGCTCACCCGAAATGTCAGTCTGTATCAGATACAAGGTTTTAGAAAAACTATTTTTACATACTTTATTTGCATTGAAATTAGAGCATATGAATGGGAAGCATTTATTTAATCTGTAAACCAGGTAGATGGTTTGAAACACTTTTCATATATAACTTGGAGAAGAAACAAAGCCAAAACGTTTGATCAGCTGCTGCCCATGTTGCAGCCAGATATCCAACAGACTAAAGTTGAAAGGATACAGATGATCCAACATGGCCCATCTCAAGCATCCCAAAACTATGAGTTGGAACAAAAAAAGAGTTGGTACCACTGGTCTGCAGAGCAGAGACAAGAAATGTATCCCCATAGTTAGAATAATAATAATTATTTAAATATTTCTCTTAAATGGCCTATTAAGTCAAAATGTGGGGTGACTGAAAAGGCTCTTTAAAAAAAAAAAAAGTGTTCTTGTGTTCTTTATTCTTCAGCCAACCTGTTTATTTTTGTCTGTGTCAGAGGGGTGTGCCTGCACCACAGGCACAATGGTCACGGATGCAGACCTGTCCCAATTCAACTTTGTACTGTGATAAAGAGCTTGACCAGCACAGACTCCACAGATTGCTGCTCTGGAGCTTGTGTGGTTATAACATCTTAAATACTAAAATTTAGTATAAATATTAAACAAAATGTCACCAGCAGTCAAGTGCCAGCTCACAATGCAGGTTCATGGTCATGTGCACCTCCCCTTCAGGGGCAGTCCCTGCTGGATGCTGTGACACCACATCTTCCCTCACAGGTCCCCACGTCAGCTGGGTCACAGCAAACTTCTGAACATCTCGTGCACCTCAGCACAGCTCAACCCGCCCAGCAGCTGCTGTTTGCACGAACAGCACCGAGGGAGAATGTTTGCATATTGTGGTAAAGAGTTTTGAAAGCACTTCGAGGTGTATCATGTTTTGTTTAGCAAACTGGACTTTGGGATACATGAAATTAGCCTCAGACTCAGAAAAAAATCTTGCATCCAAGTGCAAGTCCCGGTGTCTTTTATGCAGGACAGCAGGAAGGTTCCTGTTCCACTCAGCAGAAAAAGAATGTTAATTGCAAGGGAAGCTGAATACTGAAATGCTTTGTCTGAGGGAGCACTGTGCAGGGGGAAGGAGATCAGCTCAAGAGATGATCCTTTCTGTCCCAGTGAAAGTTAAGAGTGCAAACTTAATCACAGAATCACAGAATCATAGAATGTGCTGAGTTGGAAGGGACCCATCAGGATCGAGTCCAGCTCCTGGCCCTGCACAGGACACCCCACCAGTCACACCATGTTCCTGAGAGTGTTGTCCAAATGCTTCTTGAACTCTGTCAGGCTTGGTGCTGTGACCACTTCCCTGGGGAGCCTGTTCCAGTGCTCAACCACCCTCTGGGCGAAAAACCTTTTCCTGCCATCTAACCTAAACCTCCCCTGCTGCTCTTTTAGTTTTAGCTTTGAAATGGTCACCTCTTTCCTAGCAGGCTTCTTTGGCTTTCCAGCCGAGCTACCTCAAATCATTAACAAACTGTCAATCTCCTGTGGACTTACCAGAGGCTTTCTCGCCTGGGGTGGGGGGAGAAGCTCTGCACAAGAGCAGGTCAGCAGGCAGCGAGGAGATTCCTGTTCCTGGCTCAAATGAGACAGAATGGGGACAGAGTTGTCATTCCAGCCACGAAAGCCATATCCTCGTTTCCAGAGCGATTAGCCCGTAAAGGCTCCCCGGCCACCCCGCAGCCTCCCGGCGCGCTCACACGCCCAAGCCCCGCTTCCCGGCGGTCTCACCCATCCCGCGGGATCAGGCTCCCGCTCCCCGGCCCTCGCCATCGCTGCCGGGGCGGTTCAGCTCTCCCCGGCCCGGGACCCCCGGGCAGGGCGACTACAAGCCCCAGGCTGCCCGGCCGGGGGCAGGGCGGCAGCGACGTGGCGCGGCCCCGCTCCGGCCGCCGGACCCCGCTCCGCCCCGCTCCGCCCCGCTGCGCTCCCGGGCCGCGGAGCGCGGGGGGCTCAGCCCCGCCGGGCCATGGGTGAGTGCGGCCGGGGCCGGGCGGGGGGCGCGGAGGAGGAGGGGGGGGATCATCAGGTTTTCTCTGCCACAGCCCCTCCGGGGACAGGGCTCTGCGGGGGCTGGGGCGGGCGCGCGCTGCCCCGGGGAAAAAAAGTTCCCTAAAGGAAAAAGAGAAAAGTTTTCAACTTTTCCTAAAGGCTGGAGCTGCATCCCACGCCCTTCCCCCTTTCTTTCTGGTTTGGTTTTGGTTTGGTTTTTTTTTTTTTTAGCGCTCCCAGCAGCACATACAGCGAACGCAAGAGCCAAGGAATTTCCTGCGGCTCGGTCCTGGGGCCATCCCAGGAGCGCTCCGGCGGCTGGGAGAGCGGGGTACAAGGAGTGCGGAGGGACCAGGATTTGCTGTGGAGCGGGATTTGCTGGAGGCAGCGGTCCGGCGCTCCCTGGCCTTGGCGTTGGTGTGAGCAGAGTCCGAAGTCAGCCCCAGCCCCAGTCCCAGCCCGGCGGTCTCTGCCCCGTCCCGGAGCACGACCCGATGACCAGTTTGCCACAGGCAGGGAATCGCCTGCCACAGCTCCTCCCGAGACCCACCAAACTTTCAGTCCTCAAGTGGAGGTCTGAAGAGTCCTCGAATTTCCCAGCTATGTCAGAACAGACTGTATAGAAACTGGATTTCAGTCAAAGTTCATAAACCATGACTGCTCATGAAGTTAACAAGAAATGCAGCAAAACCTGATGAAATCAGCTGTGGTATTTATAGTGGGACTCTCTGTGACTAGTAGAATTTGTGGCTTGGAACTAATGGGATGGGCACTTACGCCTTTTGTTCTCAGCAGATAATTTTCTAATTATCTGCATAATGTGCACAAGGAGTGCTAAAAGCAGTGTGGGTGGTCACACAGAGCATGGTGAGAGGGACTGGGGTAACTGGAATGGCATAAGTAACACAAATGAAACACAGAGGGTTACAGAATAAATACAAATATTTGTATTTATGTACAGCCATCACTGAGAAATCTTTATTGCTAGCTGTAATTAAAGGCCAAGCAGAGACACTTCCTATTAAACACAGCTTGTGAGGGGGAAAAAAGCCCTTAGGCAGGGTGAGAAAAGTTTCCACGGTCTGGTGGTTGTGTCCACATTTTTTCCACATGCAGTCTACAGAAAATGTGAATATTTCTAATTAAACAAAAGAGTACAGATAGAATTACGTGCTGGAAACCAGCACAAACCTCAAAGCTAATGCACTCTACCTGTGCTTCAAAATTGTAACTGGAGGGGAGGTCACTGCCACTGCTGTTCCCAGAGATCCCTACATCATGCTGGCTCTGGCACCAGTGCAATCCCTGCTGCTATAACATGGCTCATGGTTCTCACATTGTCACCCTTTCATCCCTTCCCCATGGTGAGAAGCATGTGCAGGCAGAACCTTGCTTTTGTAGGGTTGTTTAGGCCGGGTTGCTTTGGGTTTGGGTTGCTTTTGCTGCTGGCTTTTGGTTTTTTTATTTATTTTATTTTAGCTAAACTTAACTTGTACGCTCATCCGTATGGGATGGGCAAGGTCAAAAAGTCACTTTTTGTATTTGGGGCTGGCAACAGTGAGGTTTTCAGCTCATGATGAAGCTTGTCCTGTGGTCCTGGACCAGCCTGAGGAGGCTGTGCATGGCTCAGGGATCCTGGGTGCTGTGGGCTGTAGAAGGACAGATGAAGAAATCAGGCCACCCCACAAAGTCATGGCAAGAGTGCAAGATTAAGTGGGAGAAATAAACTTTTTTGAGCAGGGCTTTTAATGCCAAGGTCAGAAGTGAGAATGTAGAGGCTGCAGGCTCAGTGCCACATGCACTGAAACATGAAAATGATAATGCAGAATAACTCACGACCTGAAAGCAGAAGCTGCATTTCCTGCTCAGAACAGGTTTTGTAATTTGAATCCAGGGAGACTACAGAGGATCCCCCTGTACAACTCCAGGCACTACAAATCACTGCCCTCTACTTAAAAACATGTCTTAACTTTGTTAACAAAGTCCTGATTTCACAGTTCTGCACCCCAAATGAGTGCCTCTGCCTGGTGGGTTGTGTGACTGTCTGCAAGTGTCTCTCTACATGTGACCTGGTGACCTATGGGGAAATGCTGCATCGTGGCTTTTGGAAAATGGAAAACTGTGGGTGTCCTGGGAGAGCTTTTTCCAGCCTGTGCATGCTGATAGCTGCCCTGCTAGCGTCAGAAAACTGAACTTGGCATTACTTTCTTGTCTTCCAGGTCGTGCAGTGATGGTCCTGCTCTTGTCCGCAACGGTGTCTCTCCTGGGCGGGCTGATATTTGGGTACGAGCTGGGGATAATCTCTGGTGCACTGCTGCAGTTGCAGGTGGACTTTCACCTCAGCTGCTTCAAGCAAGAAGTTGTCGTGAGCGCCGTCCTCATCGGAGCACTGCTGGCCTCTCTGGCCGGGGGGGTGCTCATCGACCGCCACGGCCGGAGGAGAGCGATCCTGGTCAGCAACGTGGTCCTGTTGGTTGGCAGCCTTATCCTCACGCTGGCCAGGTCATTTATGGTGCTGGTCATTGGGCGCATGACCGTGGGCTTTGCCATCTCTGTCTCATCCATGGCCTGCTGCATCTACGTCTCAGAAATGGTGGCTGCTCACCGGCGAGGGCTGCTGGTGTCTCTCTACGAAGCCGGTATCACCGGGGGCATCCTGCTGTCCTACGCGCTGAATTATGTCTTTGCGGACGTGGAGGAGGGATGGAGGTACATGTTTGGGCTGGCCATTGCCCCGACAGCCATGCAGTTCCTCAGCATCCTCTTTCTCCCAGTGAACCCTGTTAAATTAAGCTCGTGGGACTCAGACTGCCAGAAGGGCCTCATTCCGTTGCAGGACACTGAGGACAGAGCGGCAGCGAAGCGGGAGCCCTGTCAGGGGAAGCATTACTCATTCCTTGACCTTTTCAGGACCAGAGACAACATGAGAAGGCGGACTCTGGTGGGCCTGGGACTGGTGCTCTTCCAGCAGTTCACTGGGCAGCCCAATGTGCTGGGCTATGCCTCCAAAATCTTCCACTCGGTGGGGTTCCAGAGCAACTCCTCGGCAATCCTGGCCTCAGTTGGGCTGGGAGCGATCAAGGTGGTGGCCACGCTGGTCGCAATGGCCTTGGCAGACAAGGCTGGCAGGAGAGTGCTGCTCCTGGCTGGCTGTGTGGTGATGGCCATCTCGGTCACCACCATCGGCCTCACTAGCCGCATGGCCCCGCTGGCCATGGCCAGGGACTGCAAGGCACCCACCGACCCCAACGCGTCCCTCAGCCTCACTGAGCACCCCCTGACATCTGCATTCCCCCAGTCTGCTGCGTCACCCCTCCCACCAGCATCGGGTGCTGTCAAAAGTCAGGCAGCCCCTGGTTTTGCTGCCACAAGGAGCCTTACAAAAGTTTTTGCCAGTACCCAAAGCAAAGAGGTTGTTCCCAGTTCTTCCCTCAGGCAGAAAAGGGGCTTGGTGGGTCAGTCCACAAAAGGGACAGTGGGAAGCACGGGCCCTCCTCTCACTGGTGCTCCCTGGGCACGACATACGGTCTTAAATTGGATTACACTGCTGAGCATGATGGCTTTCGTGAGCGCCTTCTCAATTGGATTTGGGCCAAGTAAGTGTGGTGTTTATATATCTTTGCACTAACCTAGAGAATAAAACTAGGGCTGACCTGCAAGCTGCCTGCTGGAAACATTCCTTATGTGTCTGCTGTACCAAGCAGCTTGGTGTCTGGGAACTGGAAATATGTCCCCATCTGCCCACTGAATCACTTTCTAGCACTGCAGCTCTGCCAGCTACAGGGCTGGTACAGCACTGGAATAACTTCCTCTTCCATGCTGTAACTACCCTTGTAATGGTTTTTTTTTCTGTGAAGCTCATTGCAAAATCAGAGTATCCCACAAGCGCTGCACCCTGGGGAGGAGAAAAAAAGAAGGCTAAGGGCAGAGGGACTGAGGGGCTTCTGCTGTGTGACAGGGAAGTCAGTGCAGAACTGGAAGTGGAACCTCTTTGAAAGTTTCTCAGTATCAGTCTGGTTGTTTTGGTTTGGGTTTTTTTTTCCCGAAATCATTATTTTTCATCAGATGAGATTAAAGATGAGGTCTTGCTTCCATGTGAGCTCTACTATTTTCTGACATTTAAATGCCTTGATGGGAGAAAACATCATCTAACTCAAGAGAAATATATAATTGGGCAAGTCTTCTGGGTTTGACAGTGACCCTGCAAATTATTTTAAGCTAAATAACCCCAGGATAGGAAAGGGTTCTTGAAGGCATATGTTGCTTTAACTCTGATTTTAGCCCAAATGCAATGTTGTTTCCCTAATTCCACCCCTTTCTCATTTTTTTGCAAAGAGCATGTCCTGACAGCAGATCTTTTCCATGTCCCGTGGATGGAATTACAAACTCCTCCACTTTCTTCTTTGCTCCCTGTGCATGTTCATTGCTGTTTCATTCCTCCTGCAGTGCTGAACACGGGAGGTTTGAAGTGTTCTCCTGTGCCCTGTCTCTGAGGTCAATGAATGTTTGACACCACCAGCAGCAGGCGCTGGGTGAAGCCCGAGTTTAAACCCCCTGCTGAAACCTCCCTTGCCCATTTCCCGAACAAATTGCTTAACTCCCACACTGTCTTTCTGATCTCTCTAATCCATGCAGTGACCTGGCTGGTCCTCAGTGAGATTTACCCTGCTGGGATAAGAGGAAGAGCCTTTGCCTTCTGTAACAGCTTTAACTGGGCTGCTAATTTACTGATCAGCCTCTCCTTCCTGGACCTTATTGGTAAGTAGACACTCCCCCTCCCTCCACCTCCCACGGCTGGTTAGGAAAGGATGGCCACCATGAGCCATTTGGAGATGAGGTGGCATTTTGAACCGTGGGGACTTAGGGCTGGAGTAGCTGTGACCCTGCTGCCCCTGAGAGCAGGAAAGCCAGGCACCAACAGCACTGCTCTGAGCCCTCTGTCAGCTGTTTGTAAAAGTCACCCATTGCCCACTGGGCTGCACTAGAGCACCACAGTATCAGCAAACCACGGAGTTTGCAGCTTCTGTGCCGGCAGCTTTACCACATTTCTTTCTAGCAGAGCCCTCACTTGAGGCACTCGGTGGGCACTGCTGGCCCTGGAGCTCGGCTGCCTTCCCTTCCCTCTGGTGCTGGCAAAGCCTGGCATGAAACAGCCTTTTCCTTTGCTGATTCCCAGTCCAGGCCTTGCAGATAAGCAGTTTCCCAGATCTATTGAAGGCTTCACAAAATAAGATGCCCATCAGGCACCAGTGACCACCTCACAGCAAATAAACCAGTTTCCTTTGTATCCCATGATGTGACTGACCTCCTACCTTCATGCACTCGAATCTCTGCAGATGCCATTGGATTCTCTTGGATATTTCTTCTCTATGGACTGATGGGAGTGATGTCTGTTATATTCATTTACCTTTTTGTTCCGGAAACAAAAGGACAGTCCCTAGAGGAGATAGACCAGCAGTTCTCCAGGAAAAGGTGTGTGTGCTGTTGTCCCAGAGTGAGTGCTGGCTTTGGGAGCTTCCCATCATTGGCTCCTGAGGTCTTTGGCACCAGGCAGCTCAAGGCTGTTACAAAGTCTGGTCAGTGCTACTGAGAAAGTAGAAAATCTCAGGTTTGTGGCAGGGTTTTGGGACAAGTTGTGAGAGCTGCAGTGCTGTTCATCAGCAAGTCACTGCCCTGAGCCTTGTGGCTGAGCTGTGGGAGGGCGCTAGTGGCACTTGGGAGGAAATGGGCTAAAAACCAGGGCTCGTGGCTGAGGAGAGGAAAGCAGGACCACAGCATGGGACAGGCAGGTCAGGACTGGGAGGAGACAGGAGGGGATGATAGTCCTCTTGTTTCACCTTAGAATAGTCTTGGACTGATCCTTCTCCTCCGGGGCAGAGACATCTCCTGGTGTAACACAGGCCATGGGCTCTCACCTGGTAGTTTTCAGACAAAGCCTGTAATGGGTTAGGGAAGATCAAAAGGTGCTTGTGCCATCCTGGTTGGGATGGAGGTGGCAGGGCAGGCATTGCTGGAGCAGGGAGAGGCCCAGGGGAGGGAGCACAGCCCCCTGGGGGGGCAGGAGGGGTAACTCCTGTGAGGCCCTGCCTGTCTCTCTGGGCACAGCACTGACCTTCACCATTGCCCTGCAGGGTTTGGGAAGGAAAGGTGTTCAAGCAGAGACGTGGACGAGGAGTGAGCTGCACACACGCACAGTACCAGAGAGTGGAGCACACCAACAGCCCATGAAACCATCAACGTGCCTGCAGCACTGTCTGAGCAGCTTTTCCAGGAGAGGAGCAGGCTGGGCCATCAGGACAATTCTTTTCCACGGCCTTTAACTGGTGACCTCTGCTCACAGACAGTTCTCCCTGCAGTGCCTTAGCTGTGGGGACATGCAGATAGCTGTCCTTTGGATCCTTGGAGGATCGTTGTTCCCCGGCAGGGAGCACATCCTTCCTTTGACGTCTTTAATTCTTCATCATTTTTACCTCTCATCGTTTAAGAGATTAATTTTTTTTGTACGCAGGGATTAAAACACAACTTTTGCCGGCGGTGCTCTCCCATCGGCCAGGTTCGTTTGTGAGCGAGGTGTGTTTTACGTTCCGGTTCTTGGAAAAGAAGCGGCGCTGCACCGCGCCGGACCCGCCGCCAGTGGGTGCCCCGGCACCGCGGCACCGCCCGGACCCCGGGCTGCGGACAGACCCCCCGCCACAGCGCCCAAAATCTGAGCCCACCACACCCCTCGGACCCCCCCGCACCCTTCGGACACACACACACCCCCTCACTGTGCCTCTGGGCCTGATGGAGCCGGAAAAGAAGGATATGGGAATCCACAGTACCCCTGCGGGGCAGGCGGAGGGAGCTGTGCTGGGACAAGGGGAAGGGGAGAGGATGGGGACATTGGGGTTTTGGGAGGGGTGGACGGGGCCCAGGGACTGGCTGCTGGGGCAGTGAGCGGGGCTGGATGTGCTGGGAGGACACACGAGAGCTCTGGGGTCAGCAAACAGCGCTGGTGACAGTGCCAGGTGTTGGGGGTGACAGTACGGGAAGATGAGACACAGCTCCTGGTAAGGGGGGATCAGTAAACCCGAGGTAGAGGACTGTCACCTCCATCACGGCAGAGCTGGGCTGCTGGCACTGAAACGAGGAAAAGCCATAAAGGAGTGTTCAAATGAAAAGCTGAGGAAAATTCAGTGGGTGTTGAAATTCAGGCTTGCACCCCTGTGAGAGGACGTGGCCAGTATTCATGGGGAGAGCAGCAGGGAAACCAAATGATGCAGCTGCAGTAAATCAGGTGAATTTGGCCATGTATGGTACCAGCAGAATCACAGGAACATTATGAAGCAACCAAGCAAGGGCAAAACCTGGTTGTGCTTCTGTGCCTATACCAGAAGCTTGAAAAATAAAATAATGCCAGGCTTTCCAATTGCCCTGAATAACAACCCTAGAACCAGCACAGATTTCCTGAGATGGGAAATCATGCATCCTAATTTAAAAAATTTTGAACCAGGACTGTATAACTGACCCCTGATCAGGATAAATATATAAATATACAAATATAAAATGAGATTAGAGAAGTTAGTCAGCTAAGTGATCCACCAGGAAGGAATAAAAACTGGTTTTGGATACAACAAAGGGTCTCCTGGACTAAGCAGTGCTGGAAGCATGAGAAGGGCTGCTACTCTGGGTTTGGTGGGGAGCAGAGCACAGGACCTGCTTCACAAGGTGTTTGTGGGAGAGCTGTTCTCTGCTGGTGACCACAAAACAACCTTTAATGCTGTAGTGGGAGAGAGCACACCAAATAAATCCAGCCTGGGGCTCTACAGTTTCAAGAAAGGGAACTATGAAAAAATAAGGTGATTAGTCAATAACAACAAACCCAAAAGGAACAGGCAGAAAGCAAGGAGCCTGCAAGCAGTCTGGCAGCGATTAAAAAATGCTCCATTAAAGCCCAAGGAAAACATGTGCCACAACTCAAAAAGAGCTAAGAGGTCCTAAAAAACACCCTGCCTGACTTGCTGCTAAGGTTAAGGAGGTATCACAGGGAGAAGGTCAGTGTTTGAAAACTGAAAAGGTTTCCCACATGAGGAGAAAAGGAAAACCCCATAAAACATAGCAAGTAAAGTGCAGACAGAAAAGAGAGCTAAAAAAGAGCATGAAGATATTGCAAATATCTTACAAATACCTTTTAAAAATGTTTCCTTAAATATGTCAGAAGAAAGAAGCTGGCTAGGGAGCCATTGCTCAATGCAAAGCTGCAACAGGGTGCCAGGAAGGATAAGGCATGATGAGGCAGCTTGGGCAGGACTGTGTTGGTCTTCACTGCTGCAGGTATTTGGAAGAACCTCACACCCAGCAAGTGAGAGGAACTGGATCAATGTGACTTTACAAGTGGCTACTGTACCAGAGGGCTGGCAGGTTGTTATTGTAGTTCCCACATAAAAGCCAAGCTCTGGAAGGGGACCCTGGGAGCTGCAGGGGTGAGTGTCACCTCTGTCCCTGCTGGGCTGATGGGGTCTGCAGCCAGACAGGCAGCTGGGAAGGAGCCAGCAGGCAAGGATGCTGAAAAGGGAAAGCTTGCCTTGCCAGCATGCTGGGACTCTAGGAATGTATCAAGTGTTCACACAGATAGGAAGAACCCAACAGACAGAACAGATGGATATTTTCAAAAAGATTTTGGCAAAATTAGTTTAAAACCATTTACATTGCCATGGGATTGGAGCAATGGTTCTTTTATGGATTGGAATCTCTTTAGAGATATTCCTGTCTTACAGGTAGCAGAGTGCAGGGTTTAACAGATAGCTTTTGAGAATGAATGAGATTCAGCAACTGGGTTGCCCCAGATTCTCTGCTGGGTCTGGTTTTATTCGGCACCTTCAGCTGTTGTGTTGGCAAGGAACAGACAGCAAAATCTCCAGGTTTGTGGATGACACTGAGCTCTTTTAGGAACTAGAACATTTTGCTGCTGACAAAGGGCTCCATAAAACCCTGGCAAAAGGAAAGGTGTGAGCAAGAAGGGCAGCAGGGAAGGATGTGATAGGGAGCACTGCAGGCTGGTGCCAGAGGCCCCTGAGGGCTGGCTGGGGACAGCATGGATGGGAGGAGTGCTCGGCTGGGTGAGCTGGCTCCCTCCATCATCATCATCTAACTGGACAAATGTGTCCCTACTCCAAATTTGGGACCCATTAACATAACAACAGGCTGTTTCTCTTTTGCTTTCCCCCGAGGCTGAGACCTCATAAGAGGATACAGAAATGCTTGAGGCAGTGATAAATCTTCTTTAGTGGGCCTTTATTTCCTTTTCTTTCACAATATTTTCTTTAGTTTCCCGGCCAAATTTTTTCTAAGGAAAGATTTCTGACTTCCTTTGAGCCACAGCTCAACATCTGTCCACATTGGGGGCTGAAGTAATACACTGTTAAGGGGTTTTGATGTCAAGCCCAAAACCCCACCAGGGATTTATGCGGCTCTCCCCTTTCCTCCCTCCTCCCCTTCAAACAGCCTTTCATTTGCTCTCACTAATTGTGCTGTCATGCCTTTCTTTTTGCCCCAGTTGTGCAGACAGCCTTTCATGCAGACAGGTTTGGGTGACAGATGCCTGTGCCATGAGCTTCCCGAGCAGGCGGGTTGTGCTCCGAGCGTGCGCATCGTCCGGGCCCCGCTGAAATGATCCAGGCACACATCCAGCCCAGGGAAGGATTAGGCAGTGGCTGCCCTGCCTCCCCCCCGAGTTGCTGCTGGATAATCACTGCTGCTCGGGGGGGAAGCCCCACCGGGCCCAGCCCACCCACAGACACCGCTTGCTCCTCGGAGTGGGCAGGAAAAAATTAGCGGAGCATCTCTTGGAAAATGGAAGAGGAGAGTCTTCAGGAGGATTCAGGGTGGGCAGAAGGACTCTGCAAAGCCTGGTGTCCCAGGGGAGGTGGCTGTCAGGGCAGGCTTTTGAAAAGCACCTACAGGCCACCCCCCCCTTACATGTGTTGCTGTACTGTGCTATAATCAAAATCTGAATGATGTGAAAAATAAGTACAAACCTTGGCCTGTTATTGCTGGTCCAGAGTGACTTCAGGAACCAGCTTGTTCACAGGTGATGTAAAGTTTGAGTGGCAGCATGTACCATCCTTGAGCCCTTGATCTCCAGCTGTGGTAACATGATCTAGGTGATAGACTGAACACCGAGGAAGGTGTGAGTCCCTGCTGCAAATATTCCCACAACTCAGCAGAGAAATGTGGGATATGAATCCATATCCTGCTTGTGCATGTAAAGGCAGCAAGCTCAAGGACTGGATCCTGCTTAGTCTCTGCTCGGGGGGGATGCAGAGCTGGATGAAAGGAACCAGAATACATGAAATACGATAACTGGAAAAAATACAAACCAGAAGATGGGCTGTTTAATGCACTGCAGATCCAGCAGAACAACCAGAGCCGAACAAAAAACAGTCCTTGTATGGGAACAAAGATACCAGCTCAGCCCAGGGAGAACCTGGAAGGAGATGGGTGTGTTGAGCTGTGTTTTGTTAGTTTGTGTGTCTCCAGGCACTGCGTGGATCAGACCTGAGCCTAAAACGTGCCGGGTGCTTCCTCCTTTAACTGCATCTCTCCTCTCCAAAGTGCTGCTTCCAGCATGAGCACCTCCAAGCTCCCCAGGTTTGGTACCCCTTGTTCCTCCTGCTCTACCTGGACTTCTTCCTACTGCTCCTCCCTCTGGTCCCAGCTCCCCCAGCCCTGTGGTCTAATAACTCAATAAGCAGAGGGAAGAAGGAGAGTTGCTATAACTTTTAATCATAGGAGTAAAGCAGGGACAGAAAGAAAGTCTCCCTCAACCACCTGAGTGCTAAAGGTTTGCAGAATAAGTTGCTCTGACAGGTCACCCACCCAGAAAAGCCTGTTGTCTGTACGGAGAAAGATATCTTGGGCTGGGCTGGAGTGAGACCTCAGCACTGAGCACTGAGCAACACAGAGACCACGGTTTGCCCCCTGGACCTACCAGGCCAAATTCAATTTCTCCATAATCAGGAATCACATAATTCCCTTTACTGGGGAGTTTTTCCAGTTGTGTCCAGGTATTTTCAGCCACTCTGACCACTGGGAATCATTTTCTCCTTGCCTCAATGACAGGAGCTGCAAAGAGCCATTTCCCTTGTGAAGGTCCTCTGCAAGGGTCTGGGGCAAAGCATCCTGTTCAGGTGCCACAGTGTCACTGTGACAATCCTGGCACCACACCCATGACAGTGCCTGTGCTCACTGACAGCTCTTGGGGGTAACAACCATCCTTTAGTTCTCGCTCAAACTCACAGCTGAGTGCTGGTGCACGATGTGACCTCCTGCAGCAACACAAATAAAAATGTCAGTACTACAGCTATTAATAGTGTTTCTATTCCTGCTGCCACTACGATGGCTTTTGCTACTATTAATAATAATATTTACATATGCAAAACCACAGATGCAAAACAGATGGTTTGGTTGGGACCTCCGAAAAAACTTGTCTCTGCCACATATATTTATGACAAAGACGGAGGGTTAACCACACAGAGTGCCATATAGAGAACAAATAGATGGGGAAAAAGAATGAAAT